TTCCTACTTAATTTTAAGTGGCACTTTCCTGCCTATATACCAAACAATTTCTCCATCTTTCCTCAGTGCCACCTTTACTGACCAGAAAACCTTATTCTTGCAAGGTCTTTGCTACCCTACATCAGCATCATCTTTAGTCTCCCATGACCCCTGGCTCTGCCCCACTCCATTGCCCCAACACCTCTTTCATTCCTTTTCTTTTCCCCACCCACCTGGCCTGATTGTTTCCACTTCCAGATCTTCTTCCCAGATCACCATCTGACACTGGTTCCCCTTCCCCACAACTCTCACAGACAGATTTATTTCTGTTAATATTGAATGCTGGAGAATCTCCCAGAATAATTTAAGCTCCTATTTATAAGCATGTTTCACTTCTATAAAATTGCTTCACATACAGGTCAGACCTTCCCAACCAAAGAATCCTCTCTGTTATTCTACCTTCCTCAAAATGTATTCTATATTTCTCAAAGTCTCTTGATTTTGAATCACAGAATCATTTAGGCTGGAAAAGACCTCTAAGATCATCGAGTCCAGCCATTAACCCAACACTGCCAAGTCCACCACTAAACCACATCCCTAAGCACCACATCTACACATTTTTGAATGTTTATAGGGATACTGACAACAGCACTTCCCTGGGCAGCCTGTTCCAAAGTTTGACCACCCTTTCAATGAAGACATTTTTCCAAATATCCAATCTAAACCTCCCCTGGAGCAACTTGAGGCTGTTTATTCCTGTCCTATCACTTGCTACCTGGGAGCAAAAGACCGACTCCCACCTGGCTACAACCTCCTTTCAGGTAGTTATAGAAAGCAATAAGGTCTCTCTGAGGCTCCTTTACTCCAGACTAAACAATCACAGTTCCCACAGCCATTCCTCATGTGACAGATAAAATTCACACTTTTTTTGACTAATGTAAGCCTCAAAAATCAGAATTCAGATGGAAATTTCCTGTGGCTATTCTATTAATGACATTCAACAACAGCATTAATGTATCACACCTCAAGAAGAAAACCCCTTAAAAGGGTATGTTACTTTAAAAGAGGTCTCATTTTTATGGTAGAGCTAAAAAGTATTTTGTTTACAACAAAACAGCAATCTGTTGATAGTTATTTGCATTAAAAACTTCGGTATCAAACAAGCAGTAGTCACAAGATTTGACTATTTTAGCATTACAGTCTTACTGAATGTGTGATTTAGAGACTACAATCTACTCTTACACCAAAGTTAAAGGAACCTGCTTTTTTTTCTTTTAATATAAGAACATTTTCACACCTTCCTGTAGTATTTAATTTTTGCTGCACTTCACACCAAAGCCCAGCAGACTTTGTAAAAACTGTTCACAGGAAATCACACTAAACTCAGAAATACCATATGGCTGCTGAACAAGAAAATAGCCATAGTTACCAAACCAAATTAATGCCATTGATCACTTTAAAGAGAGATAGTTGTAGGCTTGCTAATTATCTGAGGTGCTTATTATATATTTCAAAGTTTGAAAGTAATTCTATCCCTCTATCAAAGCTAGTAAATCAATCATCTCTGTTAAAGGCTTAGAGAAAAAGTCAAGCTTACTGCTTAAATCTACAGTCAACATATGAGAAGCATTACTATGAAAGCCATTCAAAAAGCCTCCTCATGGGAAAGGGTAACATTATGAGAACTAAGTGTTTTCACATGTTCTTTTTACCTTTGTTCTTTTATAGTCTTATTTTTCACCTCTTCTACAGCAAGACTTTTTTGGAGGCTACTAATCTGAATTCCATCTCTTTCTTCTCGAGGCCCCTTGGGACCACTTCTCCCCCAGTACTGTCTTTTGTTCCTCCTACAGTAATTCTCTGATCAGTCAAAAATAGCTTCACATGGCATTCTCCAACAGAGTCAGGAATCTGCAATTGTAGCAGATTTGGAAAGGAGGACTGAAAAAAAAAATCATTTAAAGAGAAAATCCCCATGTCCTCAGCAATGTTGAAAGCCTGTCTGCTAAGAAATAGAGAACAAGCTTCATCCTGAAGTCGTGTCCCCCATGCATTACTGAGCAAGAGAAGGGCATCACCTTAAAGCAAAGGTATTGCTCCACAGACAGGAGAGCCAAGCCACTGACACTGCCCTCTTCCAGGTGCCATGAAGGCAAAAAGACGTCGCTGTGGCCCTATTTATCATTTCACATAATTTTCCAAAAGCTTAACTTCACTACAATGAGCTCAAAAGCAGGCTACAAAAAATGGAAAACCCAACTGTTCCATTTTATTTCCTACATGAAGACTGTGCCCCCCAAAAGGGAAAAAACCCCTCCAGAGTCATGCTATAAAGTTTCAAATCCTATGACAGTCATCTCTATTTTGCACCACTATAGTGTCAGGTCCCAATTTCAACATCCATCTGCTTTTAACCAACATACACATTTAAGCTTATAATCTCAAAATAACTGTGTCCTCAAGCTAAGCTATTATATTACTACAGGATATTACTCCCTTCTCTATAAAGGACGAAATAAATCTTTCTGCAGAATTTCATTTTTCTTTCTATTTAATGACTGCCAAAATACCTTACACGACAATCATGGTATAGTTCAACCATTCTATTGCTGAACAGAATACAAATGTCAAAGGCTGTTTTGTTACTTTGTTTCACATTTAAAGATAATTATTTAAGCAAAAAAAAAACAAAACCCCACACCTGGATGTTTGTTTGCCTCTTTAATTTGTATCTCAGTTCACACATACATTCAGCAATCAGCAGAGCAGCATCCCAGTACTAGTTGTAGTTTCTGGGAGCTACTGAAACCAGTTTCTGGCAGCTACTGAAAAACTGAAGCAGCACAAGTCATTTATTTTACATACATTCATGTTTTGTTCTGAATGTAAAATAAATATAACTTGTACATGTTATATACATTATCATACAGTGTGAACGTTTATAAGAATGTTAGCGTCAACAATTTAGTGATTATAAGCTAAAGTATCTGCCACAAGAGTCTACAAATCATAGAATCACACAATATTCCAATTTGGAAGGGAACCACAAGGATCATCCACTTCAACTCCTGGCTCTGAAGAGGACAATCCCAAGAATCACACAATGTGTCTGAGAACATTGTCCCAATGCTTCTTGAACTCTGGCAGTCTTGGTGCCGTGCCAATGTTTCAAGTATATATTTTTCTAATACACATTTCTCTGCTCCAAAAATAGCTATGTCCCCCCCCTTGGCTGTTTCACACTACATCTCTTTCACTTCCATCCCTGCAGGCTGCTTGCTTCAGGCTCTTATTCCTTTGTCCAATTAAGAAATCCCTTCTTCCTTCCAGTCTCAATTCATCCCAACTGCTTCCTTGCACATTTATTTGCCTGCAGTTCCACCAGTCAACACTTATAAAGTTGAGCACATTTATAAGCCCACTGACAATTTAGATGCCTTGTCCTAAGTGTTTGGGGGAGTGGGTTGGCTCAGTTGGTTAGAGCATGGTGCTAATCATGCCAAGGTTGTGGATTCAATCCCCACATGGTCCATTCACTTAAGAGTTAGACTCGATGATCTTTGTGGGTCCCTTCCAACTCAGAATATTCTGTGAACATCTGAAACATTCTACTACTATTTCACAGGTTTGTCCAAGCCAGGTATTCTATAACAAGCTACTTGCAATTCTGATCAGACGGCTTTTTGCTCATTTAGATCACACACATGCTTTGAGTAACTACAGCTCTTCATCCCCCTCCTAAAAAGAGCTGGCTTTCATTTACTGACATACAACGTGTACCATCGACCATTCTGCCAAACTCTGTTTTTCCATCTTCTCCAGTGGCTGAGAAAAACAGATGGAGTGCCCTATTGCCACCCTCACAGAAGCATTTTCCATTAAACTTCTGATATCCTCTCCTCCTCTACTAGAAGGAAGATGGGAAGAAACCAGCAGGTGAGTTGCCCCTCACTCAGAAGGTAACTCATTCCAAAAGTGGGGTACAGTGGGAGATCATTCCAATGGCTGCAGGTGCCATCTCTGATAACTCTGGTAACCTGGTTGCTCGCACTGAATCCAGAAATTAAAGAGGCTTCCCTCTGGACAGACCTCTGCCATAATGGGCTCTCCAATACACCTCCAGCATTTCCCACCACCACTGGAAGCAATGCTTAAGCGGCTGATGACAACATCGGTCCTGCAGACAGAAGTCGGGAATCACCGTATCCTTATTTCCCAAGACAAAGGGTGCCACATGAGCTGCCTTTCAAAACCACTGCCTGTAGACCTTACGTTCTCAACGAGTCCTGGCTCCTAGCAAATAAAATAAGGCAACTACGAGCAACCTATGTCTGAACAAAGACCAGAGGCACATGAAAGGCTGATCATACCTCAGCAGGTAACAAACGGAAAAAGTTATGTGCCTGAACACCTTTAAATAAAGGGGGAAAAAAAAGAAAAAAACAAAACACCAAAAACCAAAAAGGCCCCAGCTCCCACTAAAATAAAACACAGAAATTCAGAAGTGAAGGTAAGAAAATCAGTTCATTTTTACATGACGTTTTAAGGTAAGGCTCAGGCGACACAAGGGCACCTCCGCTCCCACCAGGGCTCTCCCCGCGGAGGGGCCGCCGGTGTCCCGCGGGCGCGGCTCCGCCGGACCGGGGGTTCCTGCCCCGCTACACGAGCACGGGGCCGTCGCCGCCGCCGCCTCCTCCTCCTTCTCCTCCCCCGAGCCGCCGGCCCGACCTGATACCTCGGCGGCGGCGCGGAGAGCCCGCCCCGCGGGGCCCGCCCGCCCGGCGGGCTGCGCTCACCTCGCGACCTGGCGGCTGCCGGCGGCGGGGCCCCGGAGGCGGCGGCTGCCCGTCGTCGCGGGCCGGGCGGCGGGAGGAGGCGAGCGGCGGCCGCGGCGTCCCCACCGTGGCGCAGTTACCATGGGACGGACGCCCTCTCCCTCTCCCTCCGGAAGTCACCGCCGGCAGGGCGGGGAGGACGGGGCGGGCAGAGCCGCCATCTTGAGCGCGGCGCCCGGCCCGGCGCCCGCCATCTTGAGCGTGGCGCGGGGTTCGCCTGAGCGCTCGCCCCGCTCCCTGCCCGCCCCCCGCGGCGGTGGTTGATGCGAGCGGAGGGTGCCTGAAACTCTGCGAACAGCCGCAGTCTGACACACGCGCTTTTATTAAGTATATCTAAACTGTGGGAAAATCCAGTCTGGGGTTGAAAAGATTCCCCTTCATTGAAAGAAGGTCACAGTGGCCCCAGGAGAGTTTTATCCCAGGCCATGGCACGGATCCCTCCTCTGGCCCCTGCAGACTCCTCGCACGTGCAATGGACCACCCTTCGTCTTTAAAAACATGTCAATATTGCATATAAAACTGCACATAGAAAACAATGTTATCTACACGGGTAAATCCGGTGCTGAAATCCTAGGGAAAGCTTGCAACAGCTGTAATTGTGCCAACTTGTGCATAGGCCGTAGTTTTTAATTACACAGTTGCGTACCTTTGTATCCCAAAGGGCCTCTGTCTCATTTAGTGCACAGAATGGGCTGAGATACGATTGCGTTGTTACTCAGGGACGTGGAGTTTCCTAACCTTTGAGTGCTTCCTTTTGCGGTCGGAATAAAAGTATGTATTTGCAATTTTAAAGACCAGCATAACACATAGGATAATCTGCAGTGATCCCCTGCACATGACAAGCTGTTACACTTTCATCCCATCGTAAGGGTAATTGGCTCTCTGAAAACCACTCTGAAGCACGTGAAACACCCCGGGTCAGGCTGGCGATGGTTTGAGAGCCAGAGCTTGCAGACTGAGTCAGACTCCAATCCCCTCCCTCGCTCCTCATCCTCCCTCTGGGCTTCACTTGACATGGTTTTTATTAAAGACTCGTTATAATCTCTAGATCTGACTCAGACCTCATCCTGAACGCCAGTGGTGTGTCTCCTGCACCAGCCCAAGGGTTTGTGTTTGGTCACACCGGGGCAGAATCAGAGTGTGAAATGCTGTGGAAGTTGATGCTTTTGACACTGGAAAGTTTGGGACTAGAACCGCACTCAAGGAGCGCCATGGTGAATGGGAGAGAGAATTTGAATTTTAGAGGAGATTTTCTGTGAAGCAACATGAGCAAATGAGAGAGGAAAAGCTCCAGCACCCTCATCTGCAGAGGGACTTTGCTGTCAGCCCTGATCACTTAGTATCATATTCTGCCACTTCATTTCTAATTGTGCTGATTTCTTTTATAGGCTCAAGCAACAACTGAGTCATGCAATATAGCTTCTGTAATTCCTGTGAATCCTCTTTTTTTTTTTTTTTTCCTCCCACAAAATGGATTACAGGACGTCGTTTATGCTTCAGTGATCTTCCACTGAAGTACGCTGACATCCAGAAATATAAAATACCCAGGTTTCCACACCACAGCTCCTGTCTTTCAGTGCCATCTAGTGCCCACGCATGGAAGAGATGCTGTAACTAATGGAATTTCTCATCAGATCGATTTGCCATAATTAACACATTTTGGACATTGATAGATGGCACCGGTAGAAGATATATTTGTAAATTAATACAATATTTCTCTGTATAAATCTAGCAATATATAAATTCATATTTTTCTTTTACGGCACTAAATTCTGACACAGATCTCTTTTACGTTAATGAAATTAAAATCAATAGCACTCACAAATCAAACATACACGTATATATATTGGTTATTTACTTCTGGATATGCTGTTCTCTGTAACTAATTAGATTGCTTTGGAAAGTAATGGTCACCAAAAAAAAATAAATTGAAAGTACTGAAATAATTTATCACTTTGCTTCATTTTCAGCTCTCCTGAAAAGGAGGAGCCATCCAGATCAAAGCCCAATCAAAATTTCATTTGTAAAGTAAAACTGCAAGGCTTCGAATAACACGTCTTTCCATCTATCAACAACAAGGAACGAGTTGGTTTTTGAAACAAGAAAGAGACAGAAAAAGAAGGATTATACAGAGATCATCTGACTTGGTTGTTGTCATTTAACCCTTCATGTCTTTATTTATAGTGACTGCTAATTATTATTCTCATCCACAGTCCATGATCATGAGTAAAATAGTTCTTAACCACTGAAATGCCCTTGTCTGTCTTTTACTGCTACATACAAATTTAAGAGACGCACAAGGGACTTACATAATGTCCCCACATTACTACACAGAAAGCATTTAGTGGCCGGCACAGATAACTCCCTCTTGAAGATCTCAGATTCTAAATCAAGATACAAATCCTGAACAGCAAATACAACAAAAGGAATATGAATACAGAATTTTATACAATAGTCTTGTGCATATTCAGATTCTTATATTTAAAAAATCTTACCCTCCCTACCTGGCCATGAAAGAATCGGAAAGTCATTATTCTCTGAACTAGTCCGGCTAAAGAGGACACAAAACAAGGTGCTCAGCTGCTTTCATTCTAATGAAAATCTAATTTAATTAGAGCAATTTCAGATCACAATTCTGACAGCTGTGTTTATCATACTTTCTTCAAAGGATAGAAATTAGCATCGACTGACATAAGCATCAAAGCTTATTTATTCACCCGCCCACATCCTACCAGCCCTTCTGAGTTTGTCTGTTTATTTAGCACTTTAATAACATCACAGTAAATAAGATTTCATTTCAGAGCATGGATGTTTTTTGTCAAAGCATTTAGCACAGAATTCTTATAATGCCACTGTAGAACCTCTCTTTGCAGGTTTGATGAAAGAGCAGCTAGATGTTCCTCAGAAAAGGCATTTTAAATTATTAACAAGGACATGGACTGGGATCCAGAATTTCTTTTTTTTTTCTTTTTTGTCAACAACTAGAAAATATCTGCCTTTCCGCAGTGGCCAGAAACAACGTGTCCTCCCTTAAGCTGCAGAAGACTGCCTGAATTCAGAGGCAGATGGGTCACTGGGGCTTTGAACTTCGGGGTTTGGGGGAACCATGTGGTACTGAAGACTATGCTCTGTTTCACATCTGCTTTGCCCTTGCCAGCTCGTACAGAGGCCTGAGCCCTGCCTGTTCGCGTACAGCACACAACCTATCTATCCTCTTGTGAAATAGAAGTAGGTTCTTGCTGGTAAACACCATCTTTTATTTCATATTTGTGCAACAGCTGTTAAAACAGAGCTTGATCCCTAATTAGAGCTGCTGGAGCACAGGAATGAGGTGAATGGATCACAGCTCAGCTGCCTCTTTCCGCGATGCATATAGAACTGCCATCACATCAGATCAGACACCAGAAACATAAGCACCAGGAATTTGCTTCCCACCTGCAACTTCAGGCCCTGGGGTGACAGAGAGGCACATTTAGGAGGAGAGCCCATGAGCTGATTCTTCAGGTATCAGCAGTAGTTTGCATATTCCCTTAATTGTTCATGAAGGACAAAATACAAGAAAATTCTGCCAAAGGAAGAGGAAAAACTCCTTTCAAATTACTTTCCAAAAAGAGGTAAAGCAAACAACTCCATTTGATTTTTCAACAGGTGGAACCCAACTGAGCTGATGGAGTAGGTTCCCAGAAAGTACCCTTCACTGGGAGATTCCATCCAGATCTCACCTTTCTCCCCAGCTTGCCAATATGTACAAACTAGAGGCAGGAAAGAAACAGATTACAGATCAACTAATAGGAATAAATTCCACTGCTTCGACCACAGAATTACTTTCTCAAGTCCTGGCACTTAATACGCAACAAAATTATCATAAGACAACGGTTCTTTGTAATGGAAATAATTTAAGTTTCAATGATTCATCCAGCAGTGCAGACAGGCCTGTGGAGTGTGCTCTCTTATCTGGAACACTTATTAAGGCTGACCACTGGCTTATACAGCAGGAGCTGAAAGGTGACAAATTCAATTCTTCAGTTCTAAAATTAGGAAAAAACAGAAATGCCAAGGAAATGAGACACTCAGCAGCTGGTGAGGAAGAGATGAAAAATTCACAACTTTCAATCACTCACAGCACCAGTTACGCAGAAATAAACTGAGCTTCCCATTTTGTTTTGGAGGTTGTGTCACTTCCAATCTTTCCTGTGAAACTCAAGCATGGCTTATAGTAGTGATTTGCACGTAGATGAATGAAATATCTACTTTCAGTGGTTCTACTTCTGAGTCTTGGTTTTCTCTAGTTGAGAAAAAAAAACAGCTTTTTGAAAGGAATATTACTCTTGTAAGTATCCTCATGCTTTAAACCATTACAGTTAGAGTGATCTTTTATAAAAAAAAAAAAAAGGACAAAAAAGAGGAAAGATTAGGACATGCAGCAGAGTAGCACTGATTTGCATTTTCAGCTGAGAGCCCAGCAACTGGAGAGTTTTGTTTATTCTGTTTATCTAGGCAGAAACCACATAGGCACATGGAAAATCAAATTGTGGACGTGCTTTTTCTCAACTACCATGAAAATGTCAGGGAAAAGCATAACTTAGATGTCTCTTCAAAAGCATTGTCCAGAAAACTTGTCTTGCATTTACATAATCCACTCTTCCAGCAGCTCCCCTGACTTTCTTCATGCATACCGGTACCCAAAAAAGTGCAACAAAGAGTAGCTTAGGATAGTGTTCAGTATCTCATAGGAGATTACTGAAGCAGCATATTAACTAGGGTAAGTGTGGTCTTCTTTTATTAACTTGGCTGATCCATAAAGCAAATCTACCTTCTTTATGAATACCGACATTTTAATTTACAAAAAAATATGGAATCTGGAGAGCAAGTATTAATAAAGTCGCTATTATTTATGTTTGACCACTTGCTTTGTTGAATATAGGTAAATTTTACATGTTTTCATCCAGCTAAAGTTCTTATTTTTTTCATTCGGTTACTTTGATGAGTGAGAAAAAAAAATCTGCATCTGCCAGAACAGAGGAGGGCTCTGCAGGTTGATTTAGGTATATCAGGATATTGAATTTCATTGTAATGCCCCAAGCAGTAAGTTTTCCCTACTCAGAAGTGATCAGCTAATGACAGGGCCAAGATCCATGCATCAGAAAATAAGAGCTTCAGTTAAGTGGGAATCAGATTACAAGTTCCAACTATCTCTGTAGCTTAAATAAAGCAGTAGATGCCACAGAGGCCATGTTATTCCTCACAAAACTCCCTTTTCTCTTCCATGATTGTGTTGCTTTTTTTCTCTACTACACATTAAAATCTTACTGGCTGGACAAAGGGAGGAGATGTGTTATGCCATAGCTGATAATAATTCACTCCCTTAAGTTACTTTAATCAGAGATAAATGGGAATGGCAACAACCAGTTATTGAGACACTTTTTGGGTCACATTCTGAAACTTCATTAATACTTGCAAAAGCACTTTGTGAGAAACCCACTGTATCCTTACCTAATCTGTCTTCAACACCCTGTACCCCAAGGTGGTTTTTTCACTGCAAAAAGTCCACATCATATCTCTTAGAGCTCTCTCCCCCATCCCCATATTCCTCAAGACAAAACAGTACAATATTAATTAGATAAAAGGCAGCTAATGTAGGCATCTACTGTTAGAAGAACTGAAGAATGATAATTTTCCCAGTGCTTCTACTTACCTTGAGCACAGAGACTCCACCACATATGGTTGATTTATGGCTGTGGCTTATGCGGTGAAGTAGTAACAAGACATTTGCAGTATCAGAGCCCACAAAACATAGTTAAAGTAAGTCTTAAAAGCAACAATGTGGAACCAGAGTCCTCAAATCTGCTGCTATGGTTTAAAAATGAATCAGTTTTGCTTTAGCAGCAAAAAAGTGCAAGAAGTCAGTGTCAGAGCAGGGAGGGTGAACTGCATTCACCTCTGGTTCATGTTTCAAGCATGGTCCCAACTGCAAAGCCTCCTCTGCTACCCTTTTCCTCTGAAGTTACTCCCTCCCCTAAGCAACTGATAAATGCTGTTAAATAGTTTTATGTGTCAAAAGTTCAAATTTAAGTCTGTTAAAAAGAAATAAGAATAGAATTTGATAAGAATCAAGCTGAAATGGAAGACTTCAGAATATGATGCCAGGGCTGAGGTCATGTTTTAAAATTCAGTTATATCATGCCTAAAACTTGGAAAAATACACTATCAGTTTTAGGTATCCCTTTTCCAAAGGAGACATTTCACTTTAAAGCACAAACAGGCACAGGCTGGTTATTCAGACCTTCAGGGAAGTTGTGTTGTACTAAATCACAAGAGCCCATACGTGATTCATCTCTAAAGTTAAACTGTCAAACTAGAACCTGAAATACAGATTCAGACAGTTTCAAGTTTCAACAATTTTTGGGACTCCTTCATTTATAGGCAGTCTTCAGCAATGAAAACTGAATTTATAATTGCGAAGTCAATAATCTGCTAACCTCACATTTAAAAATATCCCATCTTTTCTGTAGAATGTTATTGCTAGAAAAACTCCACCACCATTTTCATGCATCCTTAGTTAAAAAGTTTCACTGGGTTGATCATCCACGCAGTGTTTCCTCAAGAGGCCCTGGGATATGTCTTTGATCAGGTAAACGTCCTGTACAACCACCATTGTTGCAATAACCGTCAATAACCAGTCCTGCAGCATAACAAAGCAGAGCAGGTTATTCTCTTACTGGCAGGAATTAGTAAAGGATAATTGGAGTTACATAATGTTATTCAGATGGATTGCCCAACAGCAAATACCACTAATAAAACCAGGAGTGTTGCAACAAAACAACACACGTCAGAGACTTTCAGGGAGCTGGTGACAGAAAAATGTTTTAGAATTTGGGTTTTGAGAGGGGTTTTGTATCACCTACATTCCACAAAGGCCTTTATGGTTAGACAAAGGTTTCTAGGGTGCTCCTCTATTTCTTGAGATTTTTCCTCAGGTTAAAAACCCCCCGACTTCAGCACCAAAACTTGGGCCAGTATTTATCTCCAAAGCCTAGACCAGCACTGATTTCTGATTCTGCTACCAGAACCGATATTGGAGTGAACAAGCTGACCACACATCCACATCAACTTTGACATGAACCTCCACCTCATCGGTTTGGGTTGTCCTGACTTGTTTGTTCACTTTCAAATATCATTTGCAATCAAAATCCATCTTTAGTGCAGTAACTTCAGAAGGTACAGTACAGGAGGACTGGTGTATGTAATAGC